TGATCACGATGTTGTTTTTGGCCAAACAATTCCGAAGAATCAATGACGAGTGAGCAAGTTATGATCCTTTCGAGCAAATCTGGATTGCCGTTGACGAATTTCTGAGCGATTCTCATGCGACGGTTTCATTGGTCAAAATTTGGATTCGCTGCTACACGCTTAATGCCCAAATTTTTTAAAAAAATTGCATGGCATGAGCCATCCGATATGTCGACACCCTCGGGAACCTTTCTGATAGTGATTCGATGATTCTCCATAACGATTTTCTTTACTTTTTCAACATTTTCGTCGTCATTCACATCTTCTCGACCTTCTGTGAAAAGCTTGTACCACTTCTAAACATTTTTATGACTCAGAGTACAACATTTCCAGTGTTTTTGAGAACATTATTCAAATTTCACACAAAATTTGATGAAAATTCTTTGAACAATTTTTTTCGGCAGAAAATCGCCGAACACGCAAAACACATCTACTTAACAGTCCACGTATATCTTTTGATTTCTTAGGCTTCAAATTCAAAATAAAAAATTATTTCCATATTTTGAAATCGATAAGTCCATTTCCAGTAAAACTGAGATATTCCTCAGCTTCGGTCAAATGAACATTCACCTTATTTTTTGAACAGACGTCGTAGATCTGTGAAATCACATGCCATGATACTGAATACTATCCATATTTTCTCAAACGTGTCTCTCAAGTCTAATCTACTTTGCATTGTATTGGAGCTGACTGCATGATAACCTAAATCATCATTGATTTCATCAATTCATTATTGTTTTCTTCTTTTTTTCCCTTCTTGTAAAAACTTCACTTTGTGTACATCCATTAGGACTGCTGTTTTCATTGAGGTATCTATTATTTGACACCATTCACCAGAAAAATCTGCTAATATTGAGGAGTGCCGCACCTTTTTTTTTAACAAACCATTTTAGAACGTTTTGACTAGAAGCAAGGTTACTGAACGTTAGTTTCTCGATAGTACAATTTTGTATTCAGCAGAATTTTTGGATAACACTGGTCTACAGTAGTTTTGTTGCCCTATATATAAGATTGATTTTGGGTGTATTTATACTCACAATTCATGAAATTATCAATGGTTTTGTAAGACTTGCTCTCGTTTTCTTTTAAATATTTATTTTCATTTAACATTACAAAAATTTGAAAACAAGAAACAAAATAACAGATATATTTATAATCTCAGTTTTATTTGGAAAAAAATATGATACTTTGAAGTAAATAGAAAGGGAAATTTCGAAAACATGTTATATTTCCATGAAACGCCTTTTTAGAGCTTTTCTTTTATAATTTTTCAGAGGACAATCTCTTTTTAAAGACCAGCAGTAATCGGCCATCATGTGACGATCCCATCAACCCTGATATCTTTCTTTCATTACTTTTAGATCCTGGTGGAACCGCTCTCCCTGTTCCTCACTATAATTTCCTAAATTATCTGGAAATTTATCCAAATGGTTGCGAAGATAGTGTAAACTTGACGGTATTGCTTGATCTAAAGAAAGCCTTTGACACCGTGAGCCACTATAAGCTACTGAACAAGTTATATAGTTATGGAATAAGAGGCCCAGGACATGATCTCATGAAAAGTTATCTTTCCGATCGTATCCAATGTACCAGAGTGTACGGTGAGATGAGTGGATACAAAACTGTTTCCTATGGAGTTCCTCAAGGTACGGTTTTGGGTCCCATTTTATTCGTTATTTATCTGAACGATATGTTATCTTTAGATATTCAGGGAAATTTCACTGCTTATGCCGATGATACAGCGATTACCTTTGTGGGGAACTCTTGGCCTGAAGTTATCAACCGAACAAACCAAAATCTCCTGTCTGTCAGCAAATGGCTGAATAATAATTTGCTCACTTTAAATATTGTCAAATCAGTAGCAATTCCTTTCAAAAACAATAGTAATAATAACCTACAAAACATTAATATCAACAAACATAATATCAGCTATGTCGAGAACTCCAAGTATCTGGGAATAATAATTGACCATAAACTAACCTGGAAAGTGCATATATCTAATCTGGTCTCAAAAATAAGAAAAACCATCTATAAATTTCATTTACTGAGAAATATACTGAATACTGAGACTCTTAAAACAGTGTACTATGCTATCACACAGAGCTTACTGCAGTACTGCATAATAGCATGGGGATCGGCATATAAAACAATTATGGAATCATTGGTTACAGCACAGAAATACATTATCAAGATCTGCCTTCGGAAACCTAGAAGATATCCATCTAATCTTCTTTTCAAAGAATTCAGAGTCCTAACAGTCAAAGAACTGTACCTCAAGAACTTACTGATATTTACCCACAAAACTCGAAGTCCATCTAATGCATTATCTTATGATAGTGTCACAACTAGAGCTGTGTCTAATAGAAATATACAAGTTCCATCCTTTAACTATAAGTTGACGAGATACAGTTTTAATTATCTCGGTAAAAAATTGTACAATATTGTAGATAAATCAATTAGGGATATTAAGTTTCTCAATTCCTTCAAATCAAAAATAACACTGTGGATCGTTGAGAATTCCAACCAGTTGTTGCAATTGTTATATCATCCAATACAATAAAAAGTTGTATTCACATTTTCAAACTCACACATTTTATATTCAACTACTGTCTACCGACATATCTCTACCCCACATCTTTTTTTCAGCCTTTTTTTTTCTTTTTTTTTTTTCTTAAATTCTGTTGCAAATAATTATGTCTGAGTTCATAGTCCTGTATTACGCGACACATAACACTTACAAACGTTGCACTAGAGACATATTTAAAATTACGGTATTACTGTTTGCTACACACGAGCTTGCTCTGTAGTAATTTGTATTATTGTTTTGTTATATTTGTTTGCTCAGATTGTAATATTACACACATTGTAGTGCGTTGTATTTACTGTACACAAAAAGCATATTTATATATGTAAATTAATCTGTATCACATATATCATTATTCCAAAATAGCATAACGTACTATAATTTTGGTTCGCTATATTCTCTGTGCTCATATATTATATCTATGTATTTGAATGAAACAATAAATTATATTCTATTCTATTCTGATACTCATATTTGCTCCTAGAATCTGAAAGTTTGTCAGCATATTTTGTACAATTTCTTCATAATTTGGTGCTTTATGGTTACCTAGGAAATTTTCGACTACCAACACAAAACTTTCCCAAGCTTTACTTTCCGGAGCAGTCATAACTTTAATAAAATCAGTGTCTTTCATCAATTGCCGTATTTGAGGACCATCAAATATTCCACCTTTCAACTTTTCCATACTAAGTTTTGGAAATGTTTTACAAATATATTAAAAACAATCTCCTTCCTTGTCCAATGCTTTTACGAATTGCTTTATCATTCCTAACTTAATATGCAATGGTGGAATTATAATTTTGTCTCTGTTCACCAACGGCTCTCTTATTACATTAGCTTTACCGACAGTTAAAGAATTTTTTTCAGGCCAAACATCTTGTTCCCAATGACGTTGCTTTGCTCTACTGTCCCACATACAAATGAAGGAAGGGGATTTCGTGTATCCACTTTGTTGACCAAGTAAAAAATTAATCATTTTTAAATCCACACAGATCGACCATTGATGCTCCGAGTAATTGATTTTTTCTAAAACTAATTTGACATTTTCATATTCTTCTTTGAGTTTTGTAGAATGGGCAATTGGAATTGATGCAAATTTATTTCCATTATGCAGTAAGACGCATTTTAAACTTCTTTTATAGCTATCATTGAAAAGACGACACTCAGTAGGTTTGTATTCTTTCAAACCCATGTCCAGAAGCAGCTTCGCAATATTATTACAGTATACCAATCCTTCATTTTCATCAAAAAATTGTAATAGCTCACTTTCTCGCGTTCTGTAGGTTGTAATTGTAACTGTCGGTGCCAATATTTTTTTTCTTTCAATCTTGAAGCTAACAGTTCTGATCCTTGTTTTGATAAATTTAGATCACGTATTAAATCACTGAGTTCATTTTGAGAAAACAACTTTGGCGTAGATGTTTCACCCTCCCATTCACTTCCACTGGTAGACTGATTCGATTTCTGAGAATTTGGCAACATCATTGTTCCTGAGGGCAAGCGAATCACTTTTGAAACATAAATAGGCCGAGGGAGATTTTCACTGTGTAAAACAGGACATTTTGTAGACTGTAAGTCTGGATATCTCCACTTTTGATTTCGATTAAAGCCTTTAGCATCTACTACGCAAAAGTAACAATCATCGAAATGAATCTTAGGCTCCATCCAGATCATAGGAACACCAAAGTCTAATCCAGAACGTTCTCCTTTTTCCATAAGTTTCCTTAACAAAGTCTGTGATATTTCTTTTTTGTTTTTTTGATATATAAATACCACAAATATAACAGAATAAATCACTACTATATTTGCACTTCCTTCGTGACAAACTCATGTTTAAAAACACAAGATAAATATATTAGAACGGACACTCAACAATTGAAACAAAATATTAACATTTAACAATTTTTTCATATTTTCGTGTTAGTACTTCAATATTATCAAATAACTGAGTTCTCAGCTGTTTTGCAGAGCAAGGAGCCCGAGAAGTGGGGATCACGTGATGTTTGTACGCGCAAAGAAGTTGCGCAGAAGCCTAATCATGACTGAGAAAATAATTTTTTTTACTAACAAGCCGATTATTATTAAAAATACAAGATACGTAAAAATCATAAAAAATATAGCACATTCAGTACTTTCATAAAGATATTCGTGATTTAGGCACTCGAAAACATAAAAATTTGCAAAAATATCCAGGGCAACACAAAAAATATTTTTTTTTGTAGAGCTGTGTAATGTTTCCTAAATATATCCATATTAGCATTTTTGGTATCTTCAGCTGAGGTTCAGTTTGGTTTCCAGCTATTTCCATGTTCATTTGTACTATTTTCCTTAGTTACATATTTTTAATGAAGAAAGAAATGAAGGTATTGTTTTTTACCTGAAGATCATACCAGCTGCAAATGCTCCTTCTGCTAATAACATTGGCTCGAAAGAGTCCCACTCCTCTCGAGGATACCATGTGTGTTTACCCAAATTTTCATCTCTCTGAAAAATCAAATGTTAACCCAGATCTTAGTCAACCTCACAGTACAGATAGCCGTTAATTTGTTCATTTTGATTCAATATGATTTCTTTATCAAGGGTCATTTGGTGCGCGATATAAATCAAATCCAAAACGAATGCTTAAACGAATGTTTAAAACGAATGTTTAAAAGAAATAATCTAATGTTGAACGAAAATAAAACATCATTTTCACATCAAACATCTCTTAGGGTTGAAGGACACCGTGTTAAACTCTTAGGCATACATCTACATCTAGATCAGTGGTCGCCAACCTGTCGATCGCGAGCTACCGGTAGCTCGCGGAGGCAATTCTGGTAGGTCTCACAACGATTTTGATTTAAAAAATACAAATTGCAAAAGCTTTCGAAAATTCCACAAAAAAATCTAATTGTCATAATATTAAACATAAACAGCGGCAACGTTGCGGTGAGCGGTCTGCCGCTGGCGCCATCAAGCTAGAATCGGCTAGAACCGACCAGCCGGACCAGCGCGTTAGTGTTCGAGAACGATCTGGATTGGTTTGAACGGGATAAATACGCACGGCGCGGCGACATTGCTATACGGGGACCTACTCCTTCACTCTGAAGTCCGATGGTTAAGTAGAGGACGGGTGCTGAAACGTTTTAATGATGTCGTATCTGGCATAGTTCAATCTTTCAAACAACGCGATGAACCGATTCCGGAACTAGAAAATTCAATCTTGCTTAGAGATTTTGGTTTTCTCGTGGACATTATAGAGAAATTAAACGAACTTAATTTGCAGCTTCAGGGGAGAGACAAAGAACTAACGGTAATGATTTTTTATATGAAAGCATTTATCAAAAAGCTGGAATTTTGGGAACAAAACCTAATTAACAGCGATGCCAAGCATTTTCCTATTCTTTCAGAAAAAATATCTCAAAATCCATTAGAACCCTATGACAACAAATATCATGTAGAAATAATTTCTACCCTGGAGAATAACTTCAAAAATCGTTTTAAGGATTTCAATGAAATGGCTTTAGTAGCGCAGTTTGTTGTTTCACCCTTTATGGAAATTGATATCCAACAGTTTGCAACTTGTGTTATGCAGAACTTTGGCGAAGACATCGCTGCAACAGAAATGGAAGTCATCGAGTTTCAAAATGATTTAGCCTTAAAATCGTTAGTCTCAAGTACTGAATGTATCTGGCCTATTGTAAGTAAAGACAAATATTCAGTTCTATGTCGTGTTGCCTTGAAAGTGAAAGCATTATTCAGTTCAATCTATTTGTGTGAATCTTCTTTTTCCAATATGAAGTTTATTCAGAACAAATATCGCAATAGACTTACAGATAAACATTTGGATAATTGTATTCGAATGGCTGCATCAAATTATACTGCAAACATTAAAAAAATTATCGATGAGTCTGAGTGTCAGCCTTCTCATTGAACGTGCTTTTTTATTTTTCAATGTTTATGTTCATGATAGTGCGTTACTTTTCTGTTGTTATTATTAACTATTTTTAAATCATACGTGACATGCCGTTGTGGCTGAATAAAAGTTTGTGTTTATTTTTCAAACACCTTCGTTTGATAGGTAGGAATGTAGCTATGAACAAGTACGTACTAGTGATATTAGTTATTTTGTTATTAGTTTATTATTAGTACCTATGTATTAGTATTACCAGTTAAATAGTAAAATAAATACATATAATGATAAATTAACTGTGGATTATTTCATTTACTTTGCTTTACGTTGCTTCCGTATGGGTAGCTCGCTGTTCATTCCAACACATTGAATAGCTCAACACATTGAAGAGGTTGGCGACCACTGATCTAGATGATACTTTGAGCTGGTTAGAGCACATTGAACAACTTAGCATTGAACTGTCGAAACATACATTTCTTCTTTGGATATTGAAACAGGAGCTATTATCAGCTTATTACGCTTTTTTCCACTCTCACCTCTCATGGAACAACTCTCTGGGAAAATAGTAGTAACACAAATAGGATATTTATGTTACAAGAAAAGTGCGTAAGGATATTATCTGGGGCTGGTTCCTTAGACTCCTGTAGACCTCATTTCTTTTCGATGAAAATAATGACAGTACCTTCTATTTATGTGTATCAACTTTTGATAGATATTCATGAAAGTGAATCAAAATTAAACAGTAATTGTGATTTTCACGATCATGAGACTAGAGGATGTGATTTGTTGAGGGCCAGTAGATTCAGACTGAAAAAGTCAAGCAGAAACTCTATCGATGTCAACTTATACAATATTCTACCTCCCCATGTCAAAAAGTTGAATCAATTCTTGTTTAAAAGGTATCTGAAATATCTATTGTTTACAAATTGTGTTTACTATACTGACGTGTATATAGCTGTCTTATCTGAAGAAACACAAATAAATGGATTAGAACTCCCAATCAAAAGTCATAGTCACCAGTCTAGTTATGGGATTGAAAGGTTTGAATATCACTTCAGTTACCGTGTTAAGAGTGTCTATCATATCTAGTGAATTCTACAGTCCCTATCTGTAGACTGTGAAGAGAGAACAAAAAGTACAGAAACCAATTCTTATATACGACTATGTTATTAGAAACCGCACAAAATGGAGTTAGAACTGCATATTAGTGTAAAACTCCACTTCAAAAAACACTCAAATAATAGTATTCCAAATACCCTAGTCCTCATTAGTTGGGAGAATTGTCATTTGTACTTCAGTCAACGTTTTCGAAAAAATTAAAATTTACCACCGTGGCATATTGAATTTTTGGAGCCAACAACAACTATGCTTTCAGTTTTTAAAATATTCAGGTACTGATCTTAGAGTTCACGAAGTATTTATCTAGAAAGTAGAAAAAAGTAATCTTATTTGAATTGAAGTGGTTATATTTTTTAGGGGTGATTGATTTTTGGGAAAGAAAGTTTTTGGCTTTCTACTACTCCATCTTGATACAAAAAAGAAGGATGAGGGAGTCTTCCAAAGAAAGGAAGGAAATAACTCTATACATAGATGTGTAGATCATGCAAAGAAGTAACTTTCAGACACAAACTGTAAGGAGGACTTTCTTTCAGTTTGTGTCTGAAAGTTACTTCTTTGTATGATCTACACATCCATGTATGGAGTTATTTTCTTCCTTTCTTTGGAAGACTCCCTCATCCTTCTTTTTTTTTGTATCAAGATGGAGTAGTAGAAAGCCAAAAACTTTCTTTCCCAAATAGAAGAAAGTCTCTTCAATTTTGGTAATATCAGTAACCAGCTCCTAGAAAAATGATAATGAAATGACACATTTTCTTCGAATTCATGATTCATTTGGAACTGCCCTTTTCTAGAGATTGAGAAATAACTGTTTTCATTTAGATCGATATTATTGTATTGTATTATTATTGATACTCGAAGAGTTTGAGAGTGAGTAGCATTTTCTCTTGAGTAAATTATTCTATAGTATCGAAACAAGAGTCGCGCGTGTGTTTGTAAAACCCTTTATGTATAGTGGAAATCTTACAGTAAATTGTTTTAGTGTTAATATAGATTTTCAACAAGTATCGATCTGTTCTATTCAATATCATTTGTGTCTTACCCAAGTGACATAAAATGATGCGAGTCTCAAAGCCAGCCAAATGACATAGAAGAAATTTGTTATAAAATCGACGATATTCCATAAATCTGACACATACTCCTCTAAACCATCACACCATAATGACCGCATCTCAGCCCAAATCAAACCTGTAAATGCGATAGAACTTCAAATAAAAAAATAATACTTCATATTGGAAACGTAGTTTGTATAATTCAAGGTATCTGTATCTGTAGAGTAGAAAGGGTGAGTATAGACCCACAGCACTCAGGCCACATGTGACCCATTGTACATCCTCCCGAGGAATTGTCCTCCTAGGTCATCGTCCATTCTGTCCTTTCCAGGAAGGTGGACAGGTCACTAGGAGACATCTCCTTTATATTGGCAGGTGTAGGCCAATACTCGCGGAACACACAGTCTCTTTGGCAACCTTGAGGTGTGTCACGGTGGCTTCCGCGAAGGTTTCGGAAGGTGCAGCGACATTACTGTCGTTGCACGGCTTCTTCAACCTTCTTGGGGTTCCTCCGTGGAGGTGCACAAGTGAGGGAGCTTTCCTGCAGGGGCAGCCGGTTCCTTGCCTTCATTCAAGGCGGAGCACTTGGTGCCCGCCGCAGGAAGTGCGCTTGCTGTTGGAGGTGGAGTGAAGAAGGAGGAGGGTGCACTTATAGTTGCTGCCACTCCTGCGTCTTTCGCTCTCTTTCTCCTTTTGGCATGGGCGACGCAAATGCGCTTACGCCTTGGCTTTTGTATTACATTACGAGGTGATCTGCTATGTCCAGCCTCATTCCAAGCGGTTGATTGGACATTTCTGTTCATCCCCAGTCACCACCTTAATTTGAGGTGAGAACTTCTGTCCAGCCTCGGGGTTGGTTTTTGTTGTCTCTGTTTTTGTGTTTGTTTCATTCATGTGTGTTCCCACGAGTAGCAAGGGAAGAGCTGGTCATCTGTGGCAGAGCCCCGCAATACCAGAGGTAGGCTGATCACAATGAGGTTTCGCCCAGTTCTCCAAGGGGATTCCTTACACCTTAGCTTGGGTAGGCTGATCCACAGTGGCATGTTTTGCAAAGGCTTTTGGGGAGTTTTAGTGCTCCTCACATATGAATCAAGGTTTTAGTACACGTGATAGTGGAATAAAAGAGATGTCTTAATTCAGAAAAGTCACAAATCATCAGATAAAAATTTGTTTCCTTACTTATTACATAGATGATCACTCCACATTCCGCTATTCCGAATAGAGCTCCTCTTTCTTTTCTTTTCCACTCTCTCACCATATCTTGAACCCAATCAGTCCCGAACCATTCAAGAAAGAGTATTTCAATCCTTTGCGATGCAGCTCCTAATAACACTATTAGCAAAATGAATTAGACAAAATTGCATTTTGTTTTTGACGTTCTATCTATTAAAACTACCATTTTACTGTGCATTTTTTTATTATAGTTACTATTGACAAGTAGTTATGACTTTCCTGATGAAAATACTATTCAAGGAATCGCCGAAAAGTAAAAACAGGGAAAGTTGTATTATTTTCATTCCAATGTCAAATGGACCATTAAAAATATTAACAAATACATGACAGTCCTCTCAGAAACCTCTAATGAGAGGGAATATACAATGGAACTATAATTAGCCTGAATAAATTAACAATTATTCATAGTATCATGCAGGTAGATTATTTATATACCAAGTGACACCATTATTTTTTGAAAATTTTCAATATAGTCACGATTGGAAGGTAATTGACGCCTCTATGAAAATGGCACTTGAAGAATTGACAGAATGTGAAAGTCGTATTGTTTTGGGTTTTCATTCAGTTGGATTAACAAAATTTGCATATTTCTTTCAGTAACCTCTATTGACAGGAAATATATAATGGAGCTATGATTAGCCTGAAACAATTATGATATCATAAAGATGAATTATATATGTACTAAGTGACACCGCTATTCCTACTCCTATAAAAAAAACTAACCGGCCGTTTTAAAAGTTTTGTTAGTATTATCGTAGATTTATCTTCCAGTTTCCATGATAGTGGGTGGTATAGCTCGGCCGTAATCTTGACAATGAAGTGTAATTTTTTTTTTGGTTATTTCGTGAAATATAATGGATAAGTTTGTAAAGATGACTATAAAATACTATCTCAATAAAAGTGGAAGGTATAGTTATATTTGTATTTCAGTGATTTAGAATATTTTGGGATATTACTAAGTACATTCTGATTCAAAACTTCATTTTAAGTATTATCTGTACAATATGATCAGTTATATTTGGAAATGAATATCTCGGTGTTTCAAAGATTTTTATTATGGCACATAAGAATGAATAATTTTATCCAAGCAAATAATAATATAAAACAAAGGAGAATATAAAAAATAAGTTAGTTATGTATTTTCATCAAGTATCGGCCAATTCCATCATATATCAATCAGAAAACAACTTCCCTGGCTAATACCATGAAGGGTGTTGAATTATATGGACACCTGTCAGTGCAGTATTTTTCAGGCCTGTAAAAACGAGGCCTGTAAAACGAGGTACTTAAAATGGCCCCCTTTATGAAATGCTTGATTCGATGTTGTATTTATTGATACCATCTATAAAAAATCAGATATATTTATCATTCTTACTCAAGAAAAATGCGTACGAAGTAGAGTGACAGATGAATTTGACGAAAGGTTTTTTCATAAACTGTCCCATTTTCGATGTGGGTGCCAGCATATAGATGGATGAATAAACTGGAAACATCATTCCGATCTTCGCTACTTGAAATACTTGACCAATCATACTTTTTCTCCGAAAACCTGGAAGTCCTTCGTACCAAATGGAAGCCAGTAATTGCTGAACATTGGGATGAGCTATAAACTAAAATAATCCAAATTAATTTACTGTTCTTAACTAGAACTAATGTACATCTCGATGAGGGTCTGAAAAAAATTGGGTAGAAAAATGTCAGGTCACACAATTCCGATAGTTAGATCGATTAATTTTGGTTGGATACAAATATGACTTGAAACAATCACGTTACTGGTATAGCAAAGTCAGCTTCTCAGAAACTTGGAACTCTATTTCAAACCAGTGATAGTATATAAAACTGAAATCAGACCTGATTTCAAATATTGCTAGATTCTATCAGAAAAGAGCACTCGCAGTTATTGCGAGTGCTTTAGGGTTTTAACTGCAGTGCTTGTATATACCATAAAAAAATTAACAATGAAAATTTCAGCAAAGTCGACTGACTGTGGCGAATTTGATAGTGGGCATGGGGGTCATAACTGGTGATGAATCATGGGTATATAGTTATGACATTGAAACCAAAGTCAAATCGTCACAATGGAAAAGCCCAGGAGAGCCAAAACCAAAAAAGCACGTCAAGCTCGATCCATTGTCATAGTGTCATTAATAAGTAACAGTTCCAACAATTCATGATGTATGAACTGCACCATTTTTGTATCTTTATTGAGTGGAAATCGCAGACAGATGAAGCTCACAGTTATTGAGAAAATACTTACTGCTTTTTGTTTGTATTTAATGGCTAACTTCAATCTCTCCAGAGTCTGTCTCTCTCCAGTTACCCAAGTCTCTTCTCCTTCAGGATCGTAGTTCAGCATTATCTCCAATTCATAAGATGTTCTTGCATGATCCAATAAGGATGTTGCAAAATTTTGGACTTGGTTTCTCATATCCTGGAAAATCAATAGGAATCAATTAAGGGGTTCAATTAAGGCTTTTGACTCATTTTGTTTTTCTATATAATTAATGTATATATTCGTGTGCACTAAAGATTAACAAGTTTTTGAATTTTTTTTACAAACGGAAATTTAACAAAAACCTTAAAGATTGGAAATATTTTACAATGGAGTACATCAAATCTATGTTTTTGTAGTTTTTCCAAGGCAAAAAATACTATCGTAAATCATACCCTAAAAAATAACCCTGGCCGCCGCTGGTAATCATAAATCAATTGTGACGTGACCAAGACCGCGCTTAACTCGGCGTGCGCTCGCTACCGTTCTAGATGTCGCGTCGCTCCGAGAATGATTCTACCGGCTTCGATAGACTTCTGGCGAATTGGCTATTGGCTTCGGGGGACTTCGATTACCATATATAAACGCTACTCACGCGCATATCCGATAGTCACCTCGACAGCCATGCCCGCCAATACACGGCGAGCAAGGAATCGTCTATAATGACCACGAGGCGGAGGCATTCGCAGACAACTTCGAAAGGCAGTGCAGAGAGAACGACGTCCTGTTCACGGACGAGGTAGACGAAATAGAGAGACAGGTGAAAAGAACGGTACGAAGGCTAAGACAACGTACGGACAACACACAACCCATGGCCCCGACATCTCTCGAGGAAGTGAAAGACATCCTAAGACGTCTATCCACTTGGAAAGCACCACGCCCGGACAACATAACAAACCGGACACTGAAAGTACTACCGCGCAAGGGTATAGCAGCCATAACCAACATCATAAACGCTATACTCATATTGCAGCATTTCCCGTACCCTTTCAAAGAGGCAACGGTTATCCACATCCCGAAGCCAAAGAAGAAACACCTGTTCCCAGACAACCACAGGCCAATCAGCGTACTTCCTTCCATAAGCAAAGCAGCGGAGTGTTTCATCTTGAAGAGACTCGAAGACCAAACCAGAGAGCTAGGAATCCTCCCGGATGAGCAATACGGTTTTAGATCGGAACACTCGACAGAGCTACAAGTCCTGAGGGTAGTGGACTTCGCGACCGAGGGCTTCAACCTCGGCAGGAAAGGACACAACACCGGAGCTATCTTCGTAGACGTCTTCAAGGCGTTCGACAGAGTTTGGCACGACTGGCCAAAATGAGCGATTTCAGATATTCAAAACCATTGGTAAGATTAATTCAGTCTTTTCTAGCTGACAGGCGATGCCGTTGCAGAGTAGGAGACGAATTATCAACAATTCGACTACTGGAAGCAGGAGTCCCGCAAGGAGCAGTCGTTTCGCCACACCTGTTCTCCGTGGACACAGCGGACGTGCCCAAGCCAGAGAACAACTTTAACAAGTTGGCGCTCTACGCGGACGACACGGCCCTGCTGGCGAGATCCACGAGCCAAGTACATGTCACAAGGTACTTGCAACAACAGGCGAACAGATTAGAGGAGTGGGCCAACCTGTGGAAGATCAGTATAAACCCTGACACGAGTCAGGCGATACTGTTCACTCGCAGGTTTGTACAACCGGAAGGCAACGTCACCTTCAACGGACAAGAGATTCCGTGGACCAACAAAGCGACATACCTGGGGGTCACCTTAGACAGGAGATTAACATTTCACTCTCATGTACGGCAGAGAATCGGAATGGGCAGACACGCCAGACAACGACTGGCAGCAATCATAGGACGCAGAAGCGACATGGGGTTGAAAGTGAAGTTGCTGATGATCAAAACCGTTCTCATGCTCATAATACTGTACGCCGGCACTGCCTGGGGCCAGTGCGCACAGACATACAGGAAGAAGATACAGTCGTTCATGAACGCGAGCGTAAGGGCCGCCGTGAACGCACCGTACTACATCCCCAATAGATTTATATACAGAGACTTAGACCTGGACACTCAATATGTGGACGTGTATATGAGAGAAAACGCAGAAAGCGTGTTCGATAGAATCAGATCGCGCAACAACCCAGTGCTACGCGATCTACACGATGCGTTGAATATGGATGACCCCAGATTCCGAGAAAGGAACAAACACCCAAGCCCGACAAAGCAGAATCTACGACCGCCCCCACGAGTCGCCGTCAGGCGACTCCGGTAAGCATATTAATCAGACTTTCTTTCAGCAAGTTCACCGCAGAACAACTCGACCGCGATTCAATTATCCTTAGATTCACTGAGGAACGCTCGACGCTAACACCAATAGCCGCTAACACCACTCACAAAATGTATAATTTGAGAGAAATCTTAAACATTAAAAATTTAATGACGGTATATAGAACTTTAGCAGGTATTGTATCTCTGAGTGGGGTGGCACATTTGACTGCAACCTGTACAGCCTCCAAGCCATGCAAAATAACATAATCAAAATAATTTTCAGGAAAAAAATCTCTACTCAACAGAACAGCTCTATAAAGAAACCAAGTTATATAAAATAAGATGTATTTATATTTATCACTGTCTTATATGGATGTATAAAAATAAACATCTTCACTATAGCGGAAAGATAAAAAATATTAGATCTATCGAAAATTTAAATGTAGTAACTCTCATGTTTAAAAAAACTCATTCACAACGAACAATTTTCTATTTCGGTCCTAATTTTTACAATATACTAGATCGCAGGTTGTGAAAGAAAACCTCTCATTTAACAAATATGAAACTGGTATAAAACAATTCATCAACCTTAACTATCTATCACTAGTGAAGTTACTATGAAAAATATATATGGTTGATCGAGTCAGTTGTGTATATGGATGAAAATTGACATATTATATATTTGTACGTATGTAATTTTGTATGTATATAAGTTTATATGAACTAACCACATAAATATGGATAAAGACATGGATCCTTGCCACATCAACCGCTCCGAAGAGTGAAATGTAAGATTAGAGAAAAAAAAATGGACCAGATAATGAATCATAAATTAGAGAGGGCGAAACGAGGAAGAGAAAATAAGGTAAAATTAAAAAAAATAATCCCAAAGGAAAAAGAAGTATTCATTTATTGAATTTTATCATTTCCTACAAGAATTCAACTAGATAGAATGTATATTTTCTTTGATATCTGTATATTAGTATGTTTAATATAATTACCATTAATTTTATTTACCTAATGAAAATCCTAAATTATTCCAAGGGGATGCACACAACAAGCGCCTCGAGTGCTTAGGAGAACCCTTGGGATAATAAAGGATAACTGTTATAATAATGTTTGGTTATGTAATATATTGTTATATCGAATTGAAAATAAAATTGAATTGAAAAAAAGAATCGTCTCAAAACTAACCCCGAAAATCCGAGTCTGTACACAATCAACATCAGAGTTAGATCCGGAATAACGAGGAGTGTCTGGGTAATATTCGGCTGACGAAGAAAATATCAGAGACGAGATTGTAGAAAAATAACTCATTCTGATAATGAGGATAAGGACTATTCATGACTGTCGGCTGCAAAGAAATTGTACAGTTCTTGGCAGGTTCAAACTATTTGCCTCAATACTACATGGGCTGAAAACTATTTGGTTTGCTGACTTCTAACGTGGTCGTAAAGAGACACCGATGATGCAGAACGCAGTGGACTTCCAAATGAGGCAGCAACACCAAAAGATATAAAAAATCCACAAAAGCGTTTTGAATGATCGGAAAATGAAGATGAGTGAGTTGGCTGGCATTGTGAAAATATCGAAAGAACGTGTTGGCTTTATATCGCATGAGCATTTGACTATGTGAAGGCTCTCTTCAAAGTGAGTGCCGCGCGACCTCACTGTGGATAAAAACGAGAACGTCTTAATGATTCTGAGAAGTGTTTGGCCAAGTTCGAATATAACAAACCTGAATATTTGCGTCGATATGCGACAATGAATGAAACGTGGATCTATCACTTCACTTCGGAATCAAAACTATCGCCATCTAAGTGGAGAGCAACTGGTGAACCTCATCCAATGTGCCCGAAAGCTCGACAATCGGCTGGAAAGTATATGACCTCGGTATTTTGGGATGTACGTGTTGTAATATTAGAGGACTAATTTGAGAAGAGAAATACTATCAACAGTGAATATTATATAGCGTTATTGCAGCATTTGAAGGCCGAAATTGCGGAGAATCAACCTCATTTGAAGAAAAAAAGTGCTGCTTCATCGTTACATTGCACAGTGTCACAAATCAATGAGAACGATGGCAAAATTGCATGAAATGGACCTCGAATTGCTCCCACATATACCATTTTCCCTTGCCTTGGCGCCCAGCAACTACTGGCTGTTCGTAGACTGAATAATGTAGCTTTCTGATAGCGAAAAATATATAGATTACTAATACAGTAAGTACTAGATTTAGAATGTATGTTTTTATCATTCCCTTTGTATATAGATTTTCTATTTAGTATATGTGATGTCTGATAATATTTTTAGTTGAATCAAGTTTGTTAGTAAGAAGATTTAGATTAGAGTTGTCAAATAAATAGAATTCAAAAACGTCAGTAAGACTTTATTTGATAATAAAATTATACCTATCACATATTTGAAATAGTGGTGACCGTGACAGGACTAAATTATTGACGATGGATATTATGCAGAAAGAAAGAGAGCAGCTGCGAAGACATTTTCGCAATACTAGCAGCGACCTATATGTAGCCTTGAGTACGAAGCCAACGAGTGAGGCACAAATACTATCACTCTTGAGACATGGAAGACAAGAGATTGGAAGACAAGAGTGATCAAATATTCACCATTGATGAGAACTTCCAAGAGCAGTGATTTTCCGGAAATTTCAAGGATGCCGAAGTTCAACAAGAGTTGGTTGCTATGGAATTTTATAGAGCTGAAGTCTTCAGGGGATAGGGCCTGACCAGCGCACACTACGGTGAAAAAAAATAATAATAATATTCTTTATTCAGTAGAACACAGGATTACATTTCCTATGCAAACTGAAAAGGCGGAGTTCATCTTGAGCACCTGGAGTGCACAAAGATGGTCTTCCACTCAACCTTTGGACAAACAGAAGAAAAATAAACAAAAGAACAAAAGATCGCCGATAACTAATGAAAATTGAGTGAAGCTATAGATATAAGTGCTGATTCAAATAACCGCTTTCTAGATATTAGAGGACTTCATAAATTCAAACAAATTTTTTCGAAAGGAGGAGAGTTTCATACTCTTAAAATCATTTGGAATAGCATTGTAAGTGGTCGATACATTATAGGAAAAACTTCTCTCAAACAATGATGATTTATGGATTGGTGGTGTTATAGTACCTTTCGATCTTATATTAAGATTGTGAACGTCAGTGCGGAACACAATCTTTCTATAAAGTTGGAGGGAGTTTGGGTAGTGATTATTTTGTGATATAAGGTGGAGCAGTGAAGTTTTCGGTGATATTTCATATTTAGCCACCCGGCTTCTCGTAGCTTATGACTGATGGGTTGACGCCTACGAATACCATAGATGAAACGGAGATAATAGTTTTGGATTTTCTGGATTTTTTGCGTAGATGTTGCCGTAAGGCAAGAGCTATAGACTGTATCGCAATAAGTGAAAGTAGAAAGAACTAGAGACTCGCAAAGCATTTTTTTAAGATTCAAATTCAAAGTGGCTCGAGATCCAAAATATAAGATCCGAAATATAAGAATTATGGCTTCACAATCGCATAAAGTCGTCATCAATTCTTCATATGTTACAGTTGCTTTCCCTAAGTTTCTACGAAGTAATTCCTTAAATTACTTTGACCATGCGTTCCCACTTTCTTCTAATATATTTATATCATTCGTGACTTCTACCTAGGGTACGTGTATGTTCACGTAATTTGGTTATATAATTAACCTTGTTCAAGAAACAATTCATTCAGATAAGGTTCATTATCGTGGCTAAAGACGCGTTTTGACTGACTGAACAAAAATGAGTCATTCTGACTTGACTATAACTATTATAAATAGACGTCGATATTGGCACCCTTCGACTCCAATTACATCTGAATGAATATTTTGAATGAAGTATTTTTTTTCAAAATCAAATTGAGGTAATGTGTGACATTACCGTGACGTTATGCAAATCAGATGATTTTTACAATTGGGCTGCCAACATTAAGAGCATTATTGAATTTTATTGTTTTATTAGGAAAAATATGGCAGCAAGATCTCTATCAAAAATAAAAAAAGAGGCTTGTGAAATAAGACGTCACCAAGAAGCACAGACAAGTTTGTCACATGGCTCGTTTTGTCATACTCAAGATGTGAACATCAAGAATATTTAGACATGACCCTTAGGGTTTCTGAAATTTGCAAGTGTAGTGATTTCTTCACGGAATTCGATAACAAAGACCAAATTAGAGAAAATGTTACAAGATACCTACTGAGTCTGAATTTACCAGCAAAATTCAAAGGCCTTCCGGATGATATGAACCTAGAAGAATCTGTTGAAAAAAAAGGTTTGTGCAAACTTAGAAAACCGAATATTCTAGTTGGAGCTGTGAGAAATAAAAATGGCGAAGGGAGCGGCACTTTCTTTGGCGTTCCAGTGCAAAAGCTGGATAAGGAAAAGGTGACTTTAAGGACAGGGCATATATTGATGGTTCCTCGTGGTCTTCATGAAATGTGCCTGTACGTTTTAACTCATGCCGAAGTAAAAGGAATCTTTCGAAAAGCAGGGTCCGGAGAAAAACAGGAACGTGAGTAGTTTTAAATCTCATATATATCTGGCTATATAAAATGGAACAAATTATTGAGGAGTTATAGAAAAATAAGAAATCACTCAATTTCAAGGGAGTATAAAGAAGTTGAGTACACAAGTGACAAGAAATAAAGTTTGAAGTTAATTGTATCATTAGATTTTAAACATATATTGTTTATTCCTTGCGAGCATCTGAGTATGTACTTCCCTTCGTCTTTAGTTTTTCACCAAATGCTAAATCCCAGGTCATCAAGGTCTTCCTCCTTCTTTCCATCCCTTAGTTTTTGTTTTCCTAATTTGTTTCACTGGTCTTTCGTGAATATACTCATCAGGATAAACATCGTCTCCCTATGAGTGGTAATGAACCTTCCATATCTTGTTACTTATTGATATAATATTTTCATTCCAATCATCTTTGTGATGAAACTCTGTTTTCAGAGGTAGATATTTCATTTCAACTGCCTGGTTTTCACTTTTCTGTTCTGGTATTAGCACCCATAAGCATTATAGATTGATTTTGCTTTCTTTGCATTTTTTAGCTGTTGAGAATTTCATCATTCACTTAATATTAAAGTTTCATATTTTACTGATGTATTGCTTTGTGTATAATTATAATATGAGAAACACGTGTCGTGATTTGGTGAATTGTTGATCATTACCATAGCAACGAAATAACTACTGACATGAAATTAGTAGATATTTCGGGAAAGAAAGTTTTTGGCTTTCTACTACTCCATCTGATACAAAAAAAAAGGGATGAGAGAATCTTCCAAAGAAAGGAAGGAAGTAATCAATTTGAAACTCTATACATGAATGTGTAGATCATGCAAAGAAGTAACTTTCAGACACAAACTGAAAGAAAGTCCTCCTGAAACAGCTACTTTCATATAAACATTGAATTACACGAAAGAAAATAATTCTTTCGAAACAAATACTTCTATATGAACACTGAATTATACAGAAGATACTTTTCTCTACTCAGTTTGTATTTCAAACATTTGTTGTGGAATAAGAATCAGATATCATTCACATGAGTTCTACTTTGAATGAATGGTAATAAATTGTACTCACATAGAACACTGTCACCCCCACTGGTATACACCGATGTTTCGCCTTAAGACACTTGCCCTAAGGCTCTTCAGTACCAAAAAATTAATCACTCCTAAAAATATAACCCCTTCAATTCAAATAGATATTTCGATTTTTGAAAGTTTGCATCGTTTTTGTTCACGATTATCGCAGTGAACTATGAAAAGCATCAGCGATAGTAAGTTTGAAAATGAGCCTTACGAAATTTCCACTGCAGCAGCTACTGCTACAGCACAATTATTGCCTGAAAAAACAAAGTACACAAAAAAAAAGGTTCATGACTTGTTCTTGAAACGAATGGATATGAAGGAATGCAAAACTATTTACAGAGAATGCTTTTTTGCATATTCGGCGCAAAAATCTAGAAATATCAAAACGCCTACCTTGTGGAACATGTAGGTACTCTATGTTGAAAAGTGACATTCTATTGAAGAAAAATGTGAACATTATCAGTTTCCCAAAGGTTATCGCATTTTTTGAAATGAAGAATGTTCATTATAGAGTGAAGAAATCAGAAGTCTTTAACAGCGAGCAGATCAACAAATTCATTAGGAAAGCAGATAATGGAACATATCTAATGAAAAAGGTAATTTCAAGAAAATATTGCGATAGAAGGTTCTGAAATTATCAACTTGATTTGTCTAATTCTCAGGCAGCAACAATGGGGAATGTTCCTCCTGACGAAAATTAAGTAGTTTTCATAAAAGAGCTTCAAAACAACGCATTTTAAACTTATCATTTCAAAATTTTTCTTTGAAAAATTATTTAAATACTTGAAAAAGAGGAATGAAATAATGCATTCAACATTTATAGAGATCCGTTTCTATTTCATCATTTGGCAACATCGGTTATAGCTAATAAAATATAATGAATCTGTTACCTGTATGAGACAAACAAAGATGACATATTTCAGAGGCATGCTGTTCTGTTTACCTACGTTCCGAGACATTCTGTGACATGTGACATTTTGTGCACCTAACCTATCTTCCTCTATATAAATAAATAACAAAACAACTGTTGTTTATGTGGCTTGTGGAGGTGGTATTGAACTATAATTTATTTTTTGCCTCAATTGTTGATTTATAAAGATAATTTTCCTTTTTTAAAGTAGAATATCTAGGTACGTATAAATTATTTCAATTATTTCTTGGCGATGTTGCCAATATGTGAATTAGAAACAAATCCCTTTAAAAATCAAAACCCAACATTTGAAACATCAATTTGAATACTTTTCGAAGTGAATTTGAAAAACTCATGAATTGAACTCAACTTCATTTTGTTCAAACTTGCATTTGCTGTAATAACCCAAATTGAGGAATATTCCCCATTATTGGGTTAGGCGGTGGGTGTAGACGAGAAGAACTAACAAAAAAGTCAATTGATCTTATAAACGATAAGGAAAACATATTGCTTGTGAAAATAACAGATTCCAAAAGATTGAGAGAACTTTGCGTGAAATTGGACAAAAAAACTGCTGTTGCATAAGCAGTATTCATTGTTACGGCCATTCCATACCCACATAATAGATTATTCGTCAATTACAAAAAAGAAAAATGTTCGATTCAGCCTGGGAATGTCGGATTGAATCGGAAATGACGTTATATTTGCTGATAATGGTGGAAACATCACAAATTTGAAGATACACGGTGGCTGGAAGTCTACCAATGTCGCTGAAGGATATATAGACTATTACTCACAAAAGAAATTGAAATGGACAAGATCATTCAAATATTATCAGATAAAAGCAATCAATGTGAAACGAAAACTTCTAGTATACTAAGCACTCAAATCAATTTGAAATACTTCAATATCAGCAATTGTTTGAATTTCCATAAAGATATTAATAAAATTCAGAATGATTCTGTTAGTGCCTATATTCTGTTTGAATCTCAATATTTGATACAAATGAGAATTGAAATGCTCGAAATTTTGTCCTACAAAGAAATATTAGGAAGAGCTGTGTCCCATTCAGTTGTTAATCTACACGGTTGCATAAAAATAGTGTACGCAACACGTCCGAAAACAGTTTTTATGACTCGTAGACTTCCAGGACTCGTCCAAAAAACAGTAGTTTTCAGACTCGTTTCGTAAATTACCAATGTGTTTACGCTTTCCTTATTATGTCCTTGCTCATCTTTTTGCTCATCTCAAATTTCCACTTTTACTTGTGCTGTCATGTATTTTACATTTCATTTCCGTCAAAAATTAATAAACACATAGTGGTGCTACCATTTCACCTTTTCTGTGATTATTTGAACTTCCTGGTGAAATTGCTCTGTATATTCTCTCTTGATGGTACCTATACCTTGTAGATACGCAGAGTGCACTCGATCAATCCATTCTGTTCTATGTAAATTCCTACATGCTTTGTATATTTTTTCACCTAATGATACGCATTTCCTAATTTCATTGTAAAAGAGTAACGAGGTCATGGCTCCATCCTGTTCCAAGCTTTCCCATTCCAATGATTATAATATTAGTACGTTCCCTGCAAGTTCCCTGGTATTCGCCAGGGATCCATATTGTCTCCAACCATCGTTTCATTGTATATCAATGACTTATTGGATATAACCAAGAATCCAATATATTGCTCTGCTGACGACAGCACACTTGTTTCGTCATTCCATTTGGATTCCTGGACACCGGCTACGGAGGTACATCTTCACCGGCAGCAGGAGGTTGCATATCTTAATGAGGATCTAGAAGTGATTTCGAATTGCTGTTCAATTCAGTGCCAAAGAAACCAAGGCATCGGTTTTCTCCAAAAAGATAAATGTCTCCGAATGTCAGGACACACATTTCCGCTTTCTGCTTCGATAAGTTTGTTGGGGGTTAAAACGGACACCAATATGTTTCGGCACAATCATGTCGCTGGATTTGCAAAGGCTGCTACTTAAAAGTTTGGAACACTGTTCCAAACCAGAAAATTGTACTCACCTCAGCAACTTATGATGCTTCATAAAGCTCAGATCTGTTAAAAAAATCTGTTTAAAATCTGTTTTTCCGTTAATCAGCTGTCGCCCCCATATGAACGACAACTATCAGAAGTTGAGGGACTAACGAGGTCTTAACTTTTAACGTATGATTCCTAACACGGTTGCAGAATCATCCCAGCTTGAACCAGATGAATTCTCTAGAGAAAAATATCTCGTCGAAGCGGGAATCGAACCCACAGCCTTCCGATCGTGAGTCGGGCGCACTACCACCGCGGCCAATTCCACAATGAATCAGATCAGACCTTCTTTGTAGTATTTTTCTCGTGTATGGAGCTCTGCCCCTAAGAATACCCTGAAGTTGCTAGATTCCATATAGAAAAGAGCCATTCGCCTGATTGGTGACACGAACATCATTTGCAACCTTGATAGTCTGGAAAATCGGAGAAGGGTTGGAGATTTGTCTTTCTTTTGCAGAATCTTTCACGGAAGGTGTTCAAGAGACTTGGCACATTTGATTCCACCAAGAGTGGTACATATCAGAAATACGCAACGGATTGTAGCTGTTCATCGTTTTGAGGTTCAACTCAGTACACCTCGAACTCACTGTTTGAGAACGTTTTTCCAAATGAATTCAATCTCCAGCGATTCAAATCCAATATGAATCGCTACTTTCGCACTGGCACTGCTCATACAGCAACCCTGTAATGCTTGTGTTTTATCCTTGAAAAAAAATTTGTGTATTGTGAAACAGTACTTTTGTTCTGGTTCGAAAAAAAGGTTTATAGTATAACAATTTTCAATTGAAGGTGATTCATTAGCAACGTCGCACTGGAAGTGACCAACGGATAATCCTCTTACCAACTCTGCAGAGGCGTACTAAAACAATATTTTTATTTATTTAAACACATAGTTAATTACGTAAAAATTGTTATAGAAGTTGGCGCTACCTGGTGTCAATGATAAAACTGATTACATTTTCATATCATGCCTAATACAGTACTTTAAAAAAACAGGAAAATTCACAAAATAATTATTATGTTTCTCCTATATAGAAAGAAAACTACAAAGCAAAGAAATAATTACCTATGTTATGCTTGTGAAATTTCAGAATCCATTGACTCGTCCGAAGAGGAATTCCCAGTCACACTTAAATCTATTATTATTTGGTCGAAAACAGTGTCTACCATCCCGTCCAATCTCCACATTTTCTCTTCTTCCTTGATCACATAGGCTACAGTATTAGCCCAATCTTCTTTCCGTATCCGTTCCATTGTGAGTTCTAATAAACGTTGGACATCAGAAATTATATATGTCACGTTTTCACGAGGTACATAACCCTTAATTTGAGCCCAGATTGATTCTATCGGGTTTAACTCGCAATGGTAAGGAGGAAGTCTCAAAATGGTGATGCCTTCAGCACGAGCTATTGTATCCACCACATGCTGGCGATATCTGTCACGATGCTGTTTAATGAAACTCATAAGCTGGGCCTCAACCATTTCCTCGGAAAATGGAATTCCTTTTTTGTCCTAACCAACTCTGCATGTATGCTTTTCTGGTGATCATAGTTGGCAGCTGTTCTACTAATCGGCTGTGATAAGAAGCGTTATCCATTACTATTACCGAATTTGGCTCGACTCGTGAAATAAGGGATTGAAACCATCCTTCAAAGCGTTGGGCGTCCATCTCTTCGTGATAATCCCCCGTTTTTTTGGATAAAAAAATTAGTGTACTATCGTCTAAAAAGCCACTCTCGCTAATTATATGGGCGGCAATTAGTCGTTGCCCTTTACCCTTTGGTCCGCGTAACCCTGTTGATAAACCGTCCAAAAATGCTTGACGATAACTAGTTACAGTAGTATCTTGCCAGATCTCAGATACTGTGTGACCAGCATTCACCCACGTTTCGTCCAGATAATAAATATTTTTGTGAGCAGAACGCATGTCTCTAATGAGCGAAGATATCTCCGTCGCCATGAGACTATATCTTCTCTTTCTATTAAGACAGATTTACGGGATCGTTTGGCATATATAAATTTTAAATCTTCTTTTATTATTTTCCCTAACTTCTCTATTTTCATTTTTGGAATGAGATAATGATCCATTACCGTTGTCCTAATGGATTCGAGGGTTGGCGCTTTATTCTCAAAAAAGGAAGATTGAACGGTATAGCGTACAACATTTTTCTGGTACTTGTCCAATTCAATTTTTTTTCTGCCACGACAATGTACTTTTGGAGCTTGCACAATCCCAGTCACATTTTTTTCACGTACAGTGCGTTCAATTGTCGACACGGATATTCCCGTTAAAAATGAACACTGGGCTACAGCGTCCACTGTACGGAGTGTATTTTTTAAATTTTCGTAGACTCTACAAACAATCTGTTTTTCTTCTACCAACATAAACTTCCGCTTTCTTTGTACATTACTTGGACCTGCTACGGCATCCATCTTAATACTATTATAAAAATAATAAAATTCAATCATATTATACAGCTATTTGTCAGTTGTTTACTTACCCCAAAAACTATTTCAAAGTTGATGTATTTTGAAAAACACTTCATTGCAAGATTTTCACTAGAACAGATTAACAAATCCGCGACACGTGTTTCGCTGCACAGTAGCTTTTTCATGCGTGTTCACTAACAAACTGAATTCTACATACATTGTGATTCATATATACTTTTTGAAATATTACTATCTACCTAGAAACTAATAATATTTTAGAAACTAATTAATGACAGTTATACCTGAGTCTAAACCGAATGACTATTTATGGCATTTTAAGGACGCAAATATAATAGGCCTGGGAAGTGTTGATCAGTTTACCGATGTTTCAAAGTATTTAACGAACTGGCCTACGTATTCGCTCGTACATCCTATCGATATTCAGAAGCTATCTTGTTACGGGGGCAAATTTTATGGAATCATCTTACTTTTCAATCATTTACATTCAACATTGTTGCCGTTAGCTCTCAGTTCAATTTGTATATGAGTTACCTTCGATTGAAAATTGTTATACTATAAATAGATTATTTTCAATGTTATGTTCCGATAACATCGTATGTATAACTTTGAATTATTGTCTATTGATTCTTCTGCCAATGAAAACAGCGTCATAATAAAAAATGAATATGTACATAATTTTTTTCCTTAAGGTATCAAAAATGTATTGGAGACTTGTGGAAAGTTGGTGGGAGGAGATCTGGACGTATTAGATGTAGCAGTAGTCATCAAGTACTTCCTGAAAATGCTACCAACGCCGCTGATTCCAGCGGAGTACCAGAATCTATTCCTGGCCTGTGAAGAACACGCTGATAGACGAGATGTACTAGTTTTATCGTGTCTTCTTCTTCCGGTGGAGAACCTGAATCTCCTGACTTACATGATGCAATTTCTCGACCAAGTGGCTAGTCATTCATTTGTAAATCAAATGAACGCATATAATATTGCTGTTTGCGTCGGACCTAATATAATGCCTGTGTACAAGCAGGAACTTGTGAAAAAAGTTGTGACAATTGTAAAGGTTCTCATTGAAAATTCGGATCTTATAGGAACAGTTCCAGAAGTGATGCGAAAAGTGCCAATAGCCAGAAAAAAGACAATCTGTCAAAAAATTATTGAAGCAGTTTGTCCAAAACTCAATAAATCATACTAAAATTTGAATTTATTATTATCACAATGTTTCTACTTAATGGTGGTTTCAATTAGTTTTTATTAGCGTTCATGAGCGTAATACTCACTGAATGATACGTAGAGTAAATATTATTTTTTCTTTGATCAGTTATTATAATTATATAAAGATTCAGGTCTGTTTCAACACTGATGACAGTTTTGGAATGTCTTTTATGAAAACTCTAAAATTGGAAATAGCCTTTTCAATAATATACACCATCTTAACTTAAGATTCAGGACACATTTAGATAGATAGACTTTATTGGCTATTTCACACAGTGGTTTACAGCACGTCACATAGTACAAATAATATTTAGAGACAATATGTAAAAACAATCAGGTCATTCACAAAAACTTTTTTTTAATGTATTAAAAAAAATGTTCGAAAATTCTTCTACACTATAAAAACAATTTTTTTGGAGTAGGCATTTTACATTAGCCTTAAAATGTCTATCATTCAGAGGACGTACTTCCGAGCTCAATTTGTTATAAAGTTTCAAATTGAGGGAATTTGACTTCGACTTATTTGGCCTGAAACGTTTTAGTGCCATTTGTTTTGCTGATCTCGTGTCGTATTTGTGAAGATCTGACGAAACACTATAGTTTCCTTTGTTTGAGTGTATTTCAAAAAGGGTTTGATATATCGAGTGGTCCAACGAAAAGTATGCACCTTGCTTTTCTCCTTTTTTTGTAACTTAACGCAAAAATGCTCGGACAGGTCAATTTTGTTTTTGAAGGGGACACATTTCAGATGTATTTTTCTACCTGTGCCTTCAACCCCCTAGCGAGGGTGAGTAACAACCCTAAAATTTTAAATGGAAAGTGGGGTCGAGTGATATATCATTTGAAAGGGCACAAAATTCATCAGAAATGAATCAGTGGAAGTCGCTGTTTTGGGACATGTTGAATTGGATCATACTCAAAGTACCCGTCAGCTTGCTGCAGCCTCAGGTGTCTCCCGTTCGTCCATAATACGGATATTAAAAGCCTATAAATTTCATCCGTACAAAATTAAATTAGTACAGGAACTCAATGAAGATGATCCTGATAGAAGGCTGCAATTTTGTGAACAACTGAGCCAGCTACTAATTGATGATCCATACCTATCATTCAACACGTGCTTTTCCGATGAGAGTACATTTTTTTGAATGGAGCTGTGAATAGGCATAATTGCCGTTACTGAGATGATAGTAACCCACACTTATTCCGAGAGGTCCATACCCAGTACCCTCAAAAAATTAATGTCTGGTGTGGCATCATAGGTAGTCATATCGTAGGGTCACTTTTTATTCCTGGGAATTTAACTGGTGAGGTCTACCTGAACATGCTTGAAAATACAATTGATCCTCTCATAACAGAATTAATTGAAAATGACCAAAATCATAATGATGATCGGCTTCATTTCCAGCAAGATAGAGCACCTCCTCACTATGTTGCTCCGGTAAGAGAGTTTTTAGATGACCGGTTTCCTGGACGGTGGATTGGAAGGAGAGGACCCATCGAATGGCCTGCCAGGTCACCTGATTTATCGCCTTTAGACTTTTTCCTTTGGGGACACTTGAAAAATAAATGTTTTGCTACGCAGCCCGAGTCCACAGAAGATCTTCGCCAACGAATTACAGCAGAGTGCAGAAGTATAACACCTGATATGCTACAGACTGTTAGGAATATATTTGAACAAAATCTGTATTATTGTATAGAAGCAAATGGGTCACATTTTCATCCCTTGCTGAAGTAGGATTCTACTAAGTCAATTACACATTTCAAAGTACTGGGTTGTAGTTGTTTTTCTTCATAATACCTACATGTTTGAGTGAAATACAACAAGTTTGGTATCATTGGAAAGATAATTTTGTGGCCTTCCAAATGATATATCACTCGACCCCACTTTCTATTAAAAATTTTAGGGTTGTTTCTCACCCTCGCTAGAGGGTTGAAGGCACAGGTAGAAAAATACATCTAAAATGTGTTCCCCTCAAAAGCAAAATTGACCTGTCCGAGCTTTTTTGCGTTAAGTTACAAAAAAAAGAGAAAAGCAAGGTGCATACTTTACATGTATGTAAATGCATGGTAGTGTAACAATACCACAGCATAAAACTTCTTTATTTCCCGGATCTATCACTTACCATATTGCCTACTCATATAATCGGATACCCATTGAATATAAACCTCTGCCATTAGGAAGTTTCAAAAGATAAAAAAATATCTTCTTGCAATAAATGGATCCAACTAATCGAATTATGTTTTCTCCAAGCTCAACAATTATTGTATTTAAATTTCGCTGTTTATACTTGTTGCACTGTTCTTGATAGCATACTGATTTTTTTTTGTTTTTCTGTGATTTCATTTTGTTCTGACGGTTGGATGAAAGAGCAATATCTGCGATGTTTTGTCATACGCAGATATTGAATCCTGCCATTTGATTAGTTGTAATTGTATGAAACTATCAATAAAAGCCATCATTATTATTTTTTTTTCGCCGTAGTTGGCACTGGTCAAGTCCTATCCCCCGAAGCCCCGAAACATTTGGGAGGGCGTGCTAGCATAATCAACCAATGACCACTCCCCACACCGTGGAGTAAGTGATCATTGGGTCCGTGAATCATGTGCCCTGAGCAAACGTAGTAAGCCAAGAATGACAGCTTTCTGCATCTGTCCGGCTAAGATTTATGCATCAGTGCGGCAAGCCGGTATGATTTTAAGATACGTGAGTAAAGAGGACATCATTCCACCAAGGACTCCACTTATTATTATTAGTACTATACCTACCCTAGATAAACATGAAAGAGGAATAATGCACTTTCTATCGATTCAATCCTTTCCTGAGAAGTTATAATGTAGTCAACGTCACATTATTAGGTACCTATATTCCTAAGAAAAGGATTTACATTAAATAAAGAAGAAATTTTATATCAGGTATAGAACAAGGGATTTGTTTAAAGATCGAAACAAGGAAAAAACATTATAGTTCAATTTTGTGCTGTGAACTGTGAGCAATATGGAAAGTGAAAGCAGTCAAAGCAAACGCAGATGTCCGAATTTACCTGAAGGAGAAAAAACTATTATAAACAATGTGTATTGTGAGCTCCGTGAAGTCGACAAAAATGAACATTAAATTTAGGAAAAGGAATATATGACGGAACTGGCCATAACTAACGTATTCAAAAACACTTTTATGTGAGATTTGCACTAAACAGTTTTACAAAAACAACGTAACATGTCTTTATTAACTGTATTCTAAATATTCAATTCTTAATAGGTACACCTGATTTTACAATTTGAAGTACCTGAATTTCAAATACCTGAGTTTTACTCATGTTTGTAATAAATATTACTGGAGTTTTTTCCCAACACCAAATCGTTATTTCCAACACCTCGACACGTGTTTCGATCACCAAGTGATCAGCTTCAAAGAGGAAGATTAAAACTGTTTTTATCTTCCTCTCTGAAGATGATCACTCGGTGATCGAAACACGTGTCGAGGTGTTAAAAATAACGATTTGGTGTTGGGAAAAAACTCCAGTAATATTCATTACTACACCAAAGGTTCCAAACAGTGCATCATAAGTATGTTTGTAATGAATCAAATTACTTGAGCTTATGTCCCAGTTTCCACATTTGGAACAATATTTAGTAACGGTGAGTTATTCAATTCTAATTGATTATTCAAATACAAATTTATTGCATCCATATCCTATTAACAATAAATAGTGCAACGAATAAAAGAATTAAATATCTTAACCACCATTCCATCGGACTGTGGATGTTACCACACTCGTTTCGGCACTCATCTATAATTTTCGTGGCGGTTCGTCGATCGCATTCCTTTCGCGGTGAGTCATATGTTTTCTGGCTGAGATATCGGTCAGGGCCGGCTTCAGATTTATTACAATAGCTTCGATTAGTTCAAGTTTACAAATGAAATTATATCTGATGATTATGTACAATTAAAATGACAAACGTAAATAATTGTTAAAAAAAAGATTACACTCTTGAATTTTATGAAACATCGGGTCAAAAACCGAATTTGAATCGGGTATTTCAGTGATGCATACTTCACCGCCGGTGAAAAATCACAAGACCATCATAAAGATAAAGCAAAATATGAAGAAGCATGTGAAGGTCAGTACAGAAAGTCAGTAACCACATAAAAGTTCGAATTAACTGAGGGAGTAAAAGCATCCTTCGGCCAGTAGTTTCTTTAATTTGCGTTTGAAGATATCTGAACGTCTGCTCTCACAATTCAAGAGGCAAAATATTGAATAGACCAGTATCCAGTATCCACTGGAGCTTTTTTTTGCACGGAGTGACAAATTTTCTTCGGTAAAATATTTCTTTTGTTTCTGGTGTCATACATGTGAATATCGCAATGCCTTCTGAAGCTGTATAGGTTCTTAAAAATGTGAGTCAACAGTTTTAATATATAAATAGAGGGCACTGTGAGACTTTTATTACTTTTGAAAGTGTCTCTGCATGATGTTCTATAAGATAAGCAGAAAATACGTCTAATACGTTTTTGCAACAAAACACATTCAGTAATACAATTATCCATCCCCACAAACTTCACATTTATAATATTAATATAGAGCATAGATATAGATTTATTACATTATCTTGCCAATTCATGAACACCCTTCAGTTTATTCTTGCTGATTTCTGCGATTTACTTTGAAGGCTTGATGCCATGTACTTCCTTTCATGAATTTAAATCCGTTGCTAATTGAATTGACAAAAGTATTGAAAACGGTACTTACTATATACTCCATTCTGAATTCCGTTTCCATTCTACTTAATCTACGCAGGTCCCAAGATAATTCGAAAGCAGTTAAAAGCGGATCATTTGAAGATAAAGATATCAAGGAAGGGGATGACAATGCTCGGTAGGCATTTATTCTTGCCTGAGAATGACGCAGAGAATCCGCTTTGCTGGAGAAGGTGCATTCGTCGCATCCACATCTTGAAAAAAAAATATAACTCGCTAGAACTCGTCAATAATATTCGAACAAAAATATCTGTCTAAGCATTGCACATTAAAAGACCTCGTTCATTATAAGACCGCACTTGTTTCGATTTTAACTAGCCCTTTAATAATTTATTTTAAAATGTATCGTTCATATTTCATTTTTTCCAAATAAGAATTAGGATTAGTGAAGCAAGTGAAAATAAATATTAAAATAATTTCGATTCAACGTAGAATAAACGATTTCCTTTGATGGTACGCCAAAGTCGTAGAAAAAATATAGTGTACATCTCGTGTCGAGAGCATTTTTACACACAGTTATACTACTTCCATTCTAGGAAAAAACAAGTAATATAATCTGATTGGGTTCAGTACCAAATTCACCCAAAATCTTCAACTAATACAAATTCTAACATGAATCAGATGGAACGAAAAAAAGGAGACTAGTTTTATTGTAGTTGTTGTTGAGGATGTAAGTGAACTACTACAATGAACTACTTCCGTGATCGCCGTTTGAATAACAAAGTTTGGGACAAGAAACAACTTTTATATTTCTGATCAACCCGGCAATGTCTCTGTTGTTTTTTGATAAATTTACTCAATTTATCCATAGGACGGTGAACTCACCAATAATACCGCTCATTTATTGAAAAAACCTTGGACCAATTTTTAAAAAAAATTAATGAATTGACCAAATGTATTACTAACAAAGGCAAAATTTACGTTTCGAACAGATAAGAAGTATATGAGTAAACTTGTGGTTCTTGTCCCAAATTCTATATTGGTTTAACGGGAAGCACTTTCCCCAAAACGATAAAAAACATGTTCGCGTGAATAAACTTCCAATGGTAGAACAAAGTTATACTCTGATTTGGTACAAAAATTATTTTTTCACATATACTACCTGACATCGTGTGGCATTGGCAAAGTTGCTCCTCTATCCAACAATAACTTGATGATCTCATAATTGTTCTTGTGAGCCGCCAAAATCAACGGGGTAATATCTGCAGTGAAAGAGGCCGATGCCCGATCTAAACTCTCCCAACTCTGGAAATTAAAAAAAGCAAATATCAAACGATGAAATTGAAAAAGCTGCTGTTACATAAAAAATATACTCAACCTACATACGGTTTTCCAGGAATATGATGGTCTTCTTCCCAGTTCAGCAAAACTTCCACTGCTTCTACATATTCTTCTTTTATGGCATGAAGTAAACCATCCTGAAAGTTATTGATCATACATTTGGACGGTGAATTTGTGGTATGGAGAACTTCCAGTACAGAAATTATCGTTCTTATGCCTATCTCTTACCTTGACCAGAATTCCTTCTTCTAAAAGAAGCCTGATAAGTTCAATATTTTCATTTTCTATAGCTGAAATCAGAGCAGATCTATTCAACGGATCTACGCAGTTGATATCGAAATCGGCTGGGGCGTTTTTATATTCATCAATTATCCTTCAAAGAAAAAACTAAGTTATTTACGTTTACGTTACTTGAGTTATTTACGTTTTTTCGAATACTCGTAAAAGTTGAAGTAGCCATTTCGTTGAAAATCATTTTTGATGATGTCTAGTTCCTTTTCGAGGCCATCTTTCGTATTGCAGAGCCCCAAAGCACGGTCTAATATATTGGTCTAATATTATGGAACCATAATATGGAACCATGGGAATACTGAACTAGACCTTTTCCTGAAACACATCAACAGCATGAGACCTTCCATCACTTTCACAATGGAGAAGGAGATCCACAATGAATTGCCATTCTTAGACGTTTTGGTGAAGAGGACCGACACTAAGTGGGAAACATCTGTATACCGAAAACCCACTCATACGGGACAGTATCTGAACCACGAATCCAACCACCATCAATCGACAAGAAAAGGAATCATCAAGACTCTATTAGACCGTGCTTTGGGGCTCTGTAATACGAAAGAAGGTCTCGAGAAGGAACTAGACATCATCAAAAATGTCTTCAACAGAATGGTTACTCCAAAGCGATGGTAGAAAACACTTTGGGTAAAAGATAGCAGGAGCCTCGCAAGGAAGAGATGCCGTCACAACCAGTGCTTGTACTTCCCTACATCAGAGGATTATCGGAAAGGATAAGAAGAATTGGATTCAAGTACACTATCCGTAGCAGCCTCACGAAAACCAGGCCACCAAACGCGGAGTGCGATTCCAAGAATTGCATTTACTTGATATCCTGTGAGTGCGGAAAATCCTATATTGGTGAAACTAAGAGGCCATTGAATGTTCGCATTGCTGAGCACAAAAAACACACACAGCGAGGGGAAATCAGCAAATCAGGAATAGCAGAACATGTTTGGATCCATCAACACAACATCAAGTGGTCCCAAGCTGAGATCATACACAGATAGAAACATTGGTTTAGGAGAAAATTCAAGGAAGCCGCATACATGCTGTCCAACAACGTATTCAGCCAAGCTAGCGTAGAGATACGCAACATATGGAAACCCATCATCAAGCGAAAAATGGCCAGCTTCCGTCAGACGGTCATCTCCCACTGAACCAGTGAAGCGGAATAAATGGAAAGTGGGAATGAGTGAAAGTACTCGAATGACTATTTAAGTCATTTCTCTCTCGGAGAAATCAGTCCAGTCATCACCCGAAGACGATTGTAGATAATAACAATCGAAACGTCGTGAACTAACGTGGCATGGAATCTCTTAACTTTTCATTATTTTCATTTTCATTTTTATTTCTATATGTTTTTGTTCAATTGTTCGATTTTGACTTGTATTTTATATCACTATTATTTCATGTCAAGTTATTTTTGCTTAATGTAATTGTTATTTTTAGCTATTCATTTTTAATTTTTCTTTTTTTTAATTGTTTCAGGGATTTCAATTCATTTTATATGTTAGACAATGGAAGTCCGAACTAGTGAAATTCATCATGAAACATTGTCAATCACCTTCAAACAAACACCTTGACAATTCCTGAGCGATGCTCATACGACGATTTATTTGGTAAAAATTCTGCAATTTTGGAACGAACTTGGCTGTCAAACGCTTCATGGGCAAAATTTTCGATAAAATTGCATAGCATGAGCCAACCGATATGCCGATATCCTCAGTAACTTCTCTAATAGTGACTCGACGATACTCCATAACAATTTTCTTCACTTCCCCAACATTTTCATCAGTTGTCGATGTGCTGGAGCGGCCAGGGCGAGCGCCGTCATCCTCTCGACCTTCTGTGAAAAGCTTGTACAACTTATAAACATTTTTATGATTCGAAGTACAGTCAACGTATGCCACTGTCAATATTTCAAGTGTAATTGAGCATTCAATGCCATTTTGATACGAAACCTGATGCAAATTCTTTGATCCTTTTTTTGATAGCAGAAAATCGCTGAATACGCAAAACACTCCCAACTTATATGCCTTCTATGCCTTACCAACAAACTGAACATTCTAAACAGCTGAAACTGTGAACATACATTCGAGATGAGTGTACTAACATAGGAAAGTCGCTAATCGAATGTACATAGCCGGCGAAATTTGAACATTCACCTTATTTTTTTAACAGTTCTGCTGTTATGAGTGGACTAATATATTATTTGAAAGAAGTATTCTTGTAAAACTCACCTTCTTACTGTTGCACAGTCTCCCCTCTCAGCATGAAGAAGAAATGTTTTTTCTATGGAGGACAAAGGCCTGTCCAAAGGATCTGGGAAAACCGTCTGTTCCTCTGTGAAGTCATCAGTGCTGTCGCTTATCAGATTCTGTAAAGATTCTGTGATTTTCATCTTCGTGTTGATGAATCTTTCAACAAGATTTCACATAGTCAACTGTGAGATAACTGGAAATTAAAAAAAAACGGTCACGAAAGAGCATTCTCTAAAAGAGGAAAGAGTCTTTCAGACATTCATCTCTTCTAGCTCTTGTAGATAGTTAGGTTGGGTTAGGTCCAAGGTAAGTGGGTCTATTAGACCCTCTACCGCAACCCGCAAGACTATTGTGGATCATACTATTCACACTCGACGAAATAAACCCGGCTTGTTGACGAAGCCGATTATTTTGTATGGTGAGTGGTCTTTCAGGTCAGATGGTGAGAGAACTGCTCTGCCGAACTCTGAAAACCTGATTCGGTTCCCAGTGGGACAGGCACAAAGTATGTATTGTGCTGTTTCATCATTTTCCAAACAGAGGTGACACACACTGTATTCTGACAGTTCGATTCTCTGCATATGGTGATTCAAATGACAGTGGCCTGGAAGAAGGCCTGTTAGGAATCGTAGTTCATCCCTACTGTAGTCCAACAACTTTTTGGTATCAAACTTCGGAGGGTGTATAAACGCCTTGGAGTGAGCCAGTCCTGGAAGACTAAAGCGATGTCAATGACAGGTTCTGGTCCAAAGAAGCTGCTTGCGGCACTCTCCTTTACAAGGGATTCAGCAGCCTCATTACCTTCCAGGCCAGTATGGCCAGAAATCCGGACCAGAGGCAATTTTTTAAGTCGCCGCATAGGTTCCTAGGCAGGTTGATATATCTGTTCTGGGTCTTCGACTGAAAACACCTGCACCAGAATCGGAAGGTGTTTTTGATCCATCTGTGAACCAACAAATATCTGCCCTTAATATTTCCTTCTCCCTGGGCATCCAGTCCTCTCTGCTCGGGAACAGTACTTTATAAGGCAGTTCGTAGTTGACGGTTGGAGGCATAAAGTCAGAGGTCATTTCTAGAATGCTGTGACAGTGTCAACCAACAGTCTGTTTCACTCTGCTTTAAATTGATTTGTGCAATTGGCAATGTACACCAGTCTTTATGCAGTCCGTCCAGCCTCTCCATAAAAATGTGGAGAGGAGATAGATCTGGAAGGAACTCCATGGCGGCTGACGGTGTGGTACTGATGGCACCACAGATGGCCAGACAAGCCTGTGTCTGTGAGCCAGAGAGCTTCGCCTGGGTCGTTTTCAGGAAAGCCTTCGGCCACCAGGCAATCGCACCATAAGTTATCGTTCGTAGATAGTTAACAATGATAACAAATTTCAGTTGTGATAGGCAATTATGCAAATTTGTTGACAGAGGACATCCTTGTAGAGGCTTCCTGTTGTGAAGTAAACAAAAGTGACTACGAAATGGAGAACTTTGACCATTGCAGAGATTCCTCTTATCCATTGATCTCCTCAATAAAGGAAGATCAGCCCACAGTGGGATTCTTCAAGTTATTGAATAAAAAAAATCGTTGATCCTTTCAACTATCGATAATAATAGATAAGACAAGTCAGGGTTACATGAAGTTTAGTTGACAAACAAAAATTACAACAAGACGGAATGAAACAATACAAAGTTATTACAATAATGATTAACTAAAATTATGAAATCCTTTGATATTATATCGAATTCCTCAATGGTATTGAAGCATTCCCTGACTAGGAGGTCCTAAAGTTTACACTCAAAAACACCCGGGGATCCTGCGCTTTTTTTTCATACGGTAGACTGCATTATTGGGAGATTTTTTGTAATATGGGTGTTTGGGTTTGTTCAGTTCGATTTTTTTTCTAGTGTTGTAACAGTGTAAGTCACTGTTTATGAGAATGTTACTTGTTGAAAATGTTGAAAGTTTCAACAGAGGAATTGATGATACCGTGAGGATCCATTTTGATTTGAAGATCTGTCTGCACGATGGTCGACTACTAATATTGAAAATAAGCACAAAGATCCGTTTTTGAGCAGGCAACATTTTTGTGATATGTGATCTTACTCTATAATGTTGCAAGAAATTGTGTAATACACAAATGCATAGTAAACCTGTAATAATGATTCTGTCTTCAAAATATTTCTTAGCGTTACCAGAAAGTGAAAACACACCACAGACCATTTGTATTTGCTCCCCCCATGGTTAGTTGCAATGTATAAGTGTTCCTAAGAATTTAAATGAAGTAGAGATCTTTAAGATATCATTATTGATTTCGAAAATTATATTAGAGAATATACCATGTTCAGTGTGAAACTCAATTGTTACAATTGTTGTACTATGATTTATTATAAGTGTATTTCGTATGCAGTAATCCGTAAAATCTTTCAGAATCGAATCAGTTTGTTTTATGTATGTAGTCCTTGTAGATCAGGGTCGTATACTACAATGTAGGTGTCATCAGCATACATGAAGACTCTACTATTTTTTCTCTTCCGTTGTTTTATGTTATGAGGCAAGTCATTGATATAGGTTATGAAAATCAAGGGACCTAGGACACTTCCCTGTGGTGTTCCAAGATCTAAATCGAATTCCTTTGATTTGGTTTCACCGATTCTCACGGTTATTTTCAGAAAGGATGTTATCCAGTCATTCACTGGGCCACGCAGACCTAGGTTGTTGATTTTTTCGTAGATGAAATTACGATTGACCATGTCGAATGCTCGCCTTAGATCAAAGAATATGACAATTAAATACTCATTTTTGGCCATTAGGTCGTTCATGTTTCGGTAAACAGACCAGGGTAGAAGCCATATTGGCAATTGGTAAGTATCTTATATACTTCGTAAAGAATTATTGCAAACTCATTAGAAACGAAAAAAATCAGGACTTGATATGTTTTTCTTGATATGTTGAAAATATTTGACTGAGGTACTGAAGTAAAAACTGGAACAAAGGATAAGGATAAAAGGAAAGTAACTGAGATGGATCGAGTTTTTCGCTAATCAAAAATCAAAATCAAAAAATCTTTATTTCCGTAGACCTAAGGAAGGCATGGAAAAAGTTACATAACTCAGTGCAATTACAATGAGGTCACAATCATAAAACAACATAATTATAAGACATATTATATAACATTTAGACCATGAAAGGGATACGAAAATTAAAATTTAAAATTCCAAATCAGACTGAAAAAATTCATCAAGCGAATAAAATACCTTTTCACATAATAGTTTCCGAACTTTTTGTTTAAAGAGCTTTACACTAGTTATTTTTTTAATGAATATTGGGAGCTTGTTGTACAGTTTTATTGATATGATATGAGGTCCATTAGTCACCTTGGCTAACTTATGACTAGGAATCAAAATGTTATAGTTTTTTCTCAGGGTGAAGCCCGAAAGAAGACATGTATCATCTCTGTTCTGAAACTTGGAGCAATTGATTTAACGTAGATTACGCAATTAAGAATATACATGCAAGTAACAGTTAATATATTCAACTTTGCAAATAGTGGTTTACAAGAATCGAGTGGTTTTTTAAAACAAATTGTTCTAATAATCTTTTTCTGGAAAATTAATAAGTCACTGATTCTATTGCAGTTGCCGAAACAAATAATACAGTAATTGAGGGCAGAGTAAATATATGCATAATAGTAACTTTTAAGAATTTCAATAGACACAAAATTACGCAGATTTCATATAAAGAAACAGTGTGTCGCTAATCAACTCAATTGGAATCATCAACATGATGTTTCCAATTGAGTTGGGAATCAATAAAAACTCCTAAAAATGTTTTATAGTTCACCTGTTCAATAATTTATTCTCAGACCTAACCAATACACTACAATCAGTTTCCTGAATTGTAAAGAGAATGGTGTTGGTTTTAAGATTATTTAGAATCAAGCCATTCTTAGAACAATAATTTTGCATGTTGGGTACAACATCATTTGCTCTTACTGACAATGTTTCACATTCCGAACCACTGACAGTAAAAGATGTGTCATCAGCAAATTGTATAGAGCACTGTGGATGATTAATTTTTGAAAGGTCATTAACAAATAAAATAAATAGTGTAGGCCCCGAAACACTACCTTGGGGCACACCTGTAACAACGTTTCGAGATTCAGAGAAAAATGACCCAGTCTGAAGCCTAACTTTAACAACCTGTGTACGACCAGTTAAATAGGTTTCAATCCATTTCAGACTTGGACCACGGACGCCCATGTCAAACAGTTTATCAAGAAGAAGACCATGATGTATGGTATCAAACGCTCGTGTCAAGTCGAAAAGAACACTAAGTGAGTTTTCACCGTTGTCGAAGTTTGATAATACATGATTATGTAGAGAAAGGATGGCATCCTGGGTTGACAAGCTCACTTGAAACCCATATTGGTTGTCAGATACGATATTGTATTTATTTAAAAAGGACACAAGTCTGTTTTGATATGATTTTTCAAATATTTTCGAAAATGGAGATAGTAAAGCAATACCTCTGTAGTTCGACATTACATGCTTATCGCTTTTTTTATAGACTGGGACGACTATTGCTTGCTTAAGCCGGGAAGGAAAAATACCTTCAGAGAAAGATAAATTGATTAGATAAATCAGAGGTTCCATTATTTTCGAAGCAGCCTTTAATAAAACATTGGCTGGCAATTCATCAACCCCACTGGAATTTTTCGAACATGCGAATTTAATTATTTCCACGAGTTCAGTTTCATCTATTGGATAGAGGAAAAGACTCTCAGTTTTTACACAACGATTTTCAAGGCCACCAGGTGCAGTATTTTTTACTAATGACTCCACTGAATCAACAAAATAAATACTAAATGCTTGAGATATACCGGGACCAACAAATAGTAACAATAGTAGTATCAAACATAGTCCAACATATAGATTCAAGAATACTTTGGTGGAAGGAGTGTCCCATGGAAGTATTTTAGGTCGTTTACCATTTATTATTCACACCATTGATACATATATTACAGTTTCTGCTAATCATACTGATTTACGACTAGATAATGAAACAAACCCCGAAATAATAAAATGGGTATGAAAATGTTCAGTGATACAAAACGAAGGTTCACTAGGATTAAGTTAATTTTGAATGGATCCAAATCTAATCTCATATATTTATAACTAATCAATTATAGGCAGAATGGCCTCATCAACTATTATTGAAAACATTGCTAAAAAAATATTCAGATTACTGCTAATTCGTAGAACTTCTAGACTACATTGAATAAACAGCTGACAATATGAATCAAATTCCAAATGAGTTAATAAACATCTCAACAATTAGTCAGTGAAAATGCTATATTTCGTCGATTGTAAGTCTGTTTGGGAAGAAACAGTAATATTAAAAAATATTTATTTTTCAGAAAAAAAGCATTGGAATCTTAAATAACATGAAGTTTAATGAAATGTTTGGGTCCATTTCCAAAACTAACGGAATATTGATATTATATTTATGAATGTTCATCATTAAAATAGATTTTCGTTTTTTAACAACATTCGTCCAAACGCCTATGACATAATTTTATATCATGTCTTCCCCATTATATTACAAATATTATGTAAAACAAATTTCTTGATCATATCAAGGATTTTAAAAGCAAAAATAAACCCAAAGAAGAACATTGAAAATTGTTAATCGAACTTAATAATTTGAATCTACTCAATAGATATATAGATAGCTTTATTTATCTGTGAATTCATTTTATAGAAGTGTTTACAGATATAGGTATATTTTGGTTGTTTTTGTATGAGAATATGGTTTTATGACACCATTTCATTCTACGGTAATTATATGTTTAAAACATTATGTTCAAAATTTATATTATTATATGTAACGTAAGTGTCGTAAAACAATTCATGAAGCAAATACAGATGAAAAGCAAAATTCCTCAACTGATTGAAATCAATTACTTACCTATGAAAAATATTGAATTACATCGTAAACAAAGTAACATATCGAAAAATGTAATAATGTGAATAATGCATAAAAACAATATGTTCAAAAATTCAATTCATTTGTGTAGGTTGAACACAAAAATCGCCGAATATGATTATCCGCTTCTACAATGTTATCGATTACTTTGATTCTTACCTTTTTTTAACTGCCTACAATGATAGAAAACTTTCTAGACACATCACATCCACTTAGAACATATTGCAAATCAAAATGTTAGATGCCAAGAAAATGAAAACCTACAATATTCATCAAAATCGATCACAGCTCCTAATTCAATTAAAAGTACAAGGTAAATTCTAAGGTCGATGTAAAATGTAGTCTTAATCCAGATAATAATCCAGGATTTGTAACTTCATGTTGTCAACTAGGTCAAACACAACATGTTTATATGCTACATTCCTACTATCTCATTAATTCATATTTTTTGTAACTAGTTTTGAAACACTTGAAATTCGACATTGAATTACATCATTAATAATTACATTTTATAACAATTTATAAATGCCTTGCTAAGGATTCAATCTTGCTTCGCACAGGTAGCAGATCATAATAAGACTGTTCTTCTTCGTAGTGTCGCATCAACTTGTAAATAAAAATAATGACTTTGATTAAAATTCGCCTAAACAAAAGTATCTTCACAACAACACAAATAGATAAGAACCATCTACCTGCAGACAACAAAAACTAACACATTTGTAACTTTTCTTGAACGCATCGGTTTGTGAGACCGCTTAAATCAATTTTATCGCGCCATAGTTTTACTTTTGCGATAACTCATGGATATCAATTTGATTTGTATGGTCTAGAAAGCAATTATTATGTGCAATGAATGCATAAAGTAACTAACATATTCAATTTGATGAGCAATAATAAGTTCCTGTCGGAATAGCTTTCCATTTACCACATTCAATATGACCATTATTTCAAACATTAAATTGAGTAAGTAAGCTATCCTCCAAGGATAGACATTTGCCATCGCGAACTTTTCTGTAGATCTGTAAAAAGGGAAGAATATGTGAGTTGTTAACTGATGAACATTTTATTAAAACAACGATAAAAATAAAATAAAAACAACAATAAAAATTAATTGGCGTTTCGGGGCGACTTCATTGATTTCAGTGGCGCATTTGCTTTTTCAGCTGCAGGAAAACCCGGAAAACCTGCAGCACCACATCATCTGAAGATCTTGATCTAACAATGTCCTCTCTCTTATAAAACTAGATTTTCAGGACAACTACCTATTCGTAAGGAAGAACATGTTTCACAGAATCTCCATAAGAACCATTTCTCAAGCTGCGATCGATCCTTCCAAGAAAAGAAGGGTTTCGTAGAGGGATCGATTCGGCTCTTGCCTCATAAAGCTCTTCCACTGAAAGGGAACCAGTTCTACGAGGACTGCAACTCATATTTGGGGGGCAAGAATGACCTGAGTCCACTGACCGCACTGAAAAAGAAGACGGTGGATCAATCACTGGTGAATAAACCTTGATAGGAGACTGATGAATATCCACATATCTCGGCTTGTTTCGAAGAGGTTTCAGTTCCGTACTGAAATTAGGGCAATTAGTTGTTTTCTTATATCTGATAACATCGTTATAGCTGATAACATCGTAATATGCCTTAACTATTCTGAATCGAACCCTGCTCTGCAGAAATGGTTCATTGTGCTTAAATTATATTTTGCTGTGTGTATTCCTGAGTTTATTTTTCGATAATACCAAAACTTAATGATCATGTTAAACATCTAAAGAGTTAGACATCCTCTGGATGTTACGTTAGAGTAGTTTCTAATGATCTAGATTTCAGTTTTACAAAAACTGCCTACTACACATTCATTGGATTTCTTTCGATATGGAATACCATTTTGAAGAGTATATATTCCAAACCTCCTTTCTTATGTTTTGGTTGAACCAGAGAGCTGCAAGATGCTTTTTTTGAAACCAGAGAATGCGGAGAACTCTGTGTTTCTGATCAAATATGCACTCTTATTAAAATGTTCATCTTAGAGGAGGTTTTCTTAGTGAACAAACATTAACAAAATTTCATTCAGTTACAAGTTCTTATCCCATTCAAATCAGGTTCCCCATCCCAACTGAACTTTAGTTGACCATTCAATATTTTATCAATTACCAGTCTATATAACGTATTCAAACTCATCCAACAAATTCAACAGAAGATAGACCCTTTTATAGTCTATAGTCTACAGTAATATTTTAACGAAATTTTTCAGTAATTTTTTTATTATTACTCTTTGTATATCTTATCGATCCATCACCTGATCTGGTCCCATACCAATGATTTTGCTAACCTTACATCTAATAAAGAATATATCTATTTCAGCTCTTATTTTTCCTGACATTTTCATATCCGTCTCGAGCTCAATCTTGGGTACATCAAGGTCTCAAGTGGAACCGTCTGCCTGTGAAAATATCGATTCTCTCACATCATTGAGGTATAAAACTATAATTACTCACATCATGCAGCAAAATTGCATAAATTGCAAGATATATGATTGGGATGACCAATGTTCAAATTTCTTTAATTTCTTTTGTCAGGGTGTTTCTGTTCATCAAATCAACTACTTTTTGGAAGTCAACAAAAACAATTCTGTGTTCAGTGTATAGTCTGATCTGGATGCCTGGCTATAATTTCCTAGAAAGTAATAAAGTTGCTGATACTATATACTTGGACCACAACAGTAGTTTCAAAATCCTGGCAAAATCTTTCAGAACTGGTACATTCCAAGGCATTCAAACATCTAAGTATCTTACAAAACAGTTATAAGACTACACCAGGAAGGATCTACGTTATCTAGCAGGCCTACTTATAGGTCACTGTCATCTGAATCATCATATGAGGAGACTTTGATTATCGAAAGACATCGAGCAGTCTCTATTTAGAAAATTATGAAACAGCAGAGCAATATGTTGTGCCTACGCCATCGCGGATCAAACCAAGTTATTCAGTCTCGTCATCTGAGATCACTCACAAGATGAATCTCCGAAGGTTGCAGTGAATAGACTCACTTACTTTGGTTCTACCTACCCTACCTATAAGCATATATCTTTTTGAATATAGTTGTGATGTACTGTTTGAAACCTTTGGTGTAATAAGGAATATTTCTGGAGTTCTATCTCTACACCAAACCGTTATTCTAACACCTCGACATGTGTTTCGATCACCAGGTGATTATCTCGTGAAGATAATCAACTGGTGATTGAAACACGTATCGAGGTGTTGAAAATAACGGTTTTTTGTTGGGAATATAGTTTCTTTTTTTCAGGTAAGTATTGATTGTTGATCTACCATTATGATTATAGCACCCTAACTGATCTCTTTTCTTGTGTATCGATACTATGTTCCCTTCTCTGCGTAGTATTTCTCATCTCAGTTTATTCGATCAGGTTTTTCCTCTACGTATAAATCTTTTAGTAATTCCAACTTGGATATTGGAGTTATTGACTAATTTGGGTTGGGAATGTTTTCCTTTGGAAGCCTACGGAAATAGTATTATCGTTTGTTTGAAGGTGATTGACAATATTTCATGATGAAATTCATCAGTTCGGACTTCCATTGTCTGATCACATATATAAAACTGGATGTTTGTTGGTTGGTTGGTTGATTGGTTGGTTGGTTGGTTGGTAAGTGATAAACTTCATTGCTCAACCGATCGTAATGAAACTTGACATGTATAAGTAATTTTTCATAGAGAAGGTTTTTAGGCTATCAATTTTTTTGCAACTTGTCACTAGATGGCGCTGTAGAACAATTTTTTGAAAGCACTGTTCTATAATGCTGCGCACGCCTAAGTTCGTTGATTCTGATTCTATCAAAACATTGGAACAGCAGCGATAGTACAGCAGCAACATTGTACTAGTATTATATAAAATGATTTGAAATCTCTGAAATAACTAAAAAAAAGAATTTAAAAAAATTAAAGAAGAAGAATAACAATGAATAGCTGAAAAAACAATTATATTAAGCAAAAACCTGAAATGAAATGAATTTTTACTTGTATTTTACTTCACTTTATTTCATTTAAGGTTTTTGCTTAATATAATTGTTTTTTCAGCTATTAATTTTTATTCTTCTTTGATTTTATTTTAATTCTTTTTTTTTGTTATTTTAGGGATTTCAAATCATTTTATACAATATCAGACAATGGAAGTCCGAACTAATGAAATAGTATTATCTTCTTTAGATACCATTTGTCTTGTGTTTGATCTAGGCTTTTTCATAGTAATTCATTTTTCCATACTCATGTTCGCATCCTAAATTTTGATTGAATATTTAATGAATTATTTGAATATTATTTAAATAAAAATAGCTGTTCCACAGGGATCAGTTTCAGGACCTATATTATTTTTACTGTATATAAATGACATTTCAGTGTGAAATAACTCTAACCAAAATGGAAGGGTGGTTTGCTGCTAACTTTCTCTTCATGAAAATGGAAAAAACACAAGTGATGAGATTTCATAGTAGACAGAGAGATTATGAAAAACTCTTTTTTCGTAATCTTTCAATGAGAGATGATTGTGTTGAATTTCAAGATGAATATGTGGATGAATGTCTCACCTGAAACACCCAACGTGTATATACTCTACCAGATAAACACTATATTCTTTCAGTTGAGGAATCTTAGACACACCCTCAATTTTGATATCCTACGACAACTGTTTTATGCACAAGTCTCTGTTATTATTATTATATTATAAGGTCTCTGGGGTTCATCTTCTTTAGCAAATAATATATTTATTGCTCAAAAATGAGCAATAGGATGTATTGTTGGTCTGAAAATATGAGAATCCAGCTGTGCTATATATTCAAAAATATGTTAATCTTAACGATGCTGTCTGTATTCATATTCGAAAATCGTTCATATGTTTTCAAAAACACATCTCATGTTATAGTGAGATCTGATATTCACAATTTGAATAAAAATGAGTAAGATAAATGTTGACTGTTGACATTATCATTTCAAATTTTTCATGTGAGTAAATGAATACACCTTCTCTCATATTGATTTCGGTATACTCGAAACCTTTAGTAGAATGTTTTTTCCACAAATCAAAACAATTAAATCCGTTAACAGTATACCTGGGTTTATATTGAATTACAGATAAAGAATTGTGGACATCGATTTTCGTAGGTTACCCTCAATATACACTAATTAAATAAGGAATTCTGCTAATAGAATTAAATCTTGACCGTCTCGAAAAAACACGAAATAGTGATTTTACAATATTCTTCAGTCCTAAGACGTTATAGGTATCAATAGTTGGCAATTATTTTCTTCAGTTTTTGTTCTACCTGTTACATACAAATACAAACATGGATAAAGACGTAAGTACTTATCGTAGTCTAGTTCACATGTACTTTTTTTGTAACATTTTTCAGCCCTGTCCAAAAATTACGACCAAGGTGTCATTCGATTCGTATGTTTGCCTAGAAAGTTTAAGGAAATGTCCGAAAACGCGCCGATGAAACTTACAAAAGTTATAAACAATTAAGTGAGAAAAATGGGGCTTTAGTTTTTTCTTAATATCTCGGAAAGTTTTCAAAATTTTGGAAATTTGAAAAAAGATTTGAAAAGATCAATGAATTTGCGTAAAAAAAGTCTCGACTCCCGAAACTGTATCTCGATTATTTAAAATTTTCACAGAGCCCTGAAAATAGAGGCAAAAGCGGGTAGTCTGGCTTCCGCGCGCCTTCCGTCACTCTGACATAAAAACAAAAAAAATTATTTAAACATATTAAATGTAAATATTAAGGAATGAAAAAATTCATGTAATGTTGGGATACATCAATAAACAATAATCCGCAGTCA